TATGTTTATTAGCTACAATCTCTAGCAAGAATCTTCCCAGGCTGAAACCCCAGATCCCAAAGTCAGCCAGCAACAACAGTGTGAATTCCTCAGGGAGGTGCCAGTCTCATCCTCCTGTTCCTCCCACGCTCTTCTGGGGAGCTGACATCAATCTTCCCAGACTCAAACCCCAGATCCCAAAGTCAGCCAGCAACAACAGTGTGAATTCCTCAGGGAGGTGCCAGTCTCATCCTCCTGTTCCTCCCACGCTCTTCTGGGGAGCTAAGAAAATGTTTATTTCTCTGAGCCTGGCCTTCATAATTCCATTCCATCACAGATACTTGGTAAATAATAATCAATAAGAAGCAAATATTTTGCAAAAACTTAAATTGTTAATTCTGCCCTTGCCCCACCCTGACTTTGCTTGATGTTCACTGCTTCTTCAACTATAGTTGCCCTCAATTATGCAATATCTCCCATTTGTTTTCCTCAGTTACAAGTACTGCAAATTAACAGTCATACCTGTAAAAAAGGCAGATTCTATTATTTTGAACTGCTTTTTCGAAAATATTTATTTATTCATTGTATTTATATAGCTGCTCATCTCACATAAAACTGATTCAGGGTGGCATACAACAATTAAAAGAAAACATTACTTTTAACTTTTAAAAGTTAAAGTTCTTTTAACTTTTGCTGCATGAATTAAAAAGTGCCAAAAAGTAGCAATTGAAAACAGCTCAAGTTTATACAGCTTAAGAATATTGCATCTAAAAATTTCAGAATATTTCATTATTCCCATTGCTGTTATAAAACATTAAAATATAAGATTTACTGCTGCTCTGATCATGACAATTGGACAATGCACATGTTTTATGACCATTACAGAATGGGTGGGATCTGCTTCCACCTCCCTGTATTTATATTTATATGGATACTATAAATGACTCTACAAAATTCTGATTCTTAAGGCAGCTCAAAATAAAATGCCAACAGAACTATCAAACAAACAGAAATTACTAGTTAAAATGATCATTATTAACTAATTCTATGATGTAGTTCAATTTAGTGGGGATGAATCAATTTTCAGTCCACCACTTTTGAATGTGTTATTCCATAATATTTTCGGTCCAATTTCCACACAGACATCTGCATGAATATTCACATTTACATAAACACTCAAATGTCCCTAAAGCATATTTTATCCTTAATAATGCATTCCAAATTTATTTTCTTTTAATATACTGTACATACATTTTAAAGTACACTTTTATTTTATTTACTTCTTTAGCCAAATTTTCACAATTCAGATATCAAGTAAAATTATCCCTGATAAACAAATTCTAATTAGCAAATTTGACTGACTACGTGCCATAAATTCCCTGTCAACTCTTAGCAACCCCATAAACAGACCTTCTCCAGGATGATATATCCTCAACGTGGCCCCTCGGGTCTTCCAACAGTGCATCCGTTGCTGCTGTAATTGAGTCCATCCACATTGGTGTTGGTGGTCCTTTTCTTCTCTTTCCTGCCACCTTTCCCAGAATTATAGACATCTCCAGAGAGCTAGATCTTTGCATGATGTGTCCAAAACACAATAATTTGAGCCAGGTGATTTGTGCCTCGAGTGAACACTCTGGGTTGTTCTATTTGATGATCCATTTGTTTGCTTTCTTGGTTATCAATGTTATTCTCAGAAGCCTCCTCCAATAACAAAGTTCAGCAGTGTCAATACTCTTCCTATCCTGCTTCTTCAAAGTCCAACTTTCACTTCCATGGAGTGTCACAGGGAATACCGTGGCTTGCACCATTCTGATCCTTGTAGATATAGATACATCCTAGCACCTGCATTATTTTCCAAGGACTTCATTGCTACTTTTAAGTGCTAATCTGTGGTGTATTTCTTGACCGCTTGTTCCTTTGCTGTTGATCATTACTCTTAAAAGGCAGAAGCTATCTACACTTCAGTATCTTCATTGTCAGTTCTAAGGCTAGTTACTGTACTTGTCATTAGTTTGGTCTTTATATTTAATTGTAGTCCTGTATTTTCACGGTGCTCCTTGATTTTTATTACTACAGTGGTACCTCGGGTCACGAACGCTTCTGTTCACGAACAATTTGGGTCACGAACAGCACCGTTTGCAAAATT